ATTTATTACTTCGACACTCCTGCACTTGGGAGAAGACATCAATCTTTTCGTCGTGTCAAGTTTATAATACCACAATCAATGGCATAAAAACAAAAAAAAAATTCTTCTATTAGCCAAACCTAAGATAACTAAATAGAAAAAAAAGCATCAACCAATAACTACATAGAAAAAAAAATCATATTAATGAACTAAATTAAATAAAAAAAATATTTATTTAAAAGAAAAAATAACAAAAAAAACTTATAAAAAGAAAAAAAAATCTAAATTAATTGGATTAACACGTCAAACCTAAGATCCATGTAATGAAAGTTTAATAACTAAATAAAAAAATATTTAATATCAACAAACTAAATAAAAAAATCAATTAAAAAGAAAAAAAGATATCAGCTATTTCACCGTAAATTGCACAATGCAGTCCACAATGAAAGGCATAAAAAGCAAAAAAAAAACTAAAATCATCAGCCTTTTTATTAAAGACTGCATACAATATTAAAAGATGAAATTAAAAAAAAAAACCTAATGAAAAACAAATCTGAATCAGCTAAGTTAACTCACCAAATTAGGTTAACCCGTCAAACATGAAATTCGTGTCATGAAAATATGATTACTAAACAGAAAAAAAATTAATATTAATAAACTAAATTAAAAAGGAAAAAGCAAAGAGAAAAAAACGTATAGGAAAAAAAAAAACTATTGAAGAAAAAGAAAAAAATCTAAATCAATTAAGTTAAACCATCAAAACTGAGATTCGTGTCGCGAAAGTTTAATAATTAAATAGAAAAAATTTAATATTAATAAATTATAGAAAAAAATAAAGTAAAAGTATAAGCTTTTTCACCGTAGACTGTACCGTGTAGTAAGGCTTAGAAAGGGAAAAAAAAAACAAAATCATACACCATAGGTATTTTTTTTTTCTTGCATAAAAAATATCAAAAAAAACTAAGATATTCATAATATTAATAATAATATTAAACTTACATAACTTAAGTTTAAATGAGCATGACTACAACACTGGACCTATAAGCAT